CCACCAGCAATGTAAGAGTGTATCTTTTTTCACTACTCCTCACCAGCATTTATTGTTGCCTGTATTCTTAATGATTGTCATTCTGACAGGAATGAAATGAAATCTTAGAGTAGTTTTGATTTGCATTTCTCTAATTGCTAGAGATGTTGAACACCTTTTCATATATTTGTTGATCAACTGCATTTCTTTCTTAGGGAGAACTTCCTGGATCATCTCATCTAAATCAGACATGACCAGTTATACCCTTACTCATACCACTCTGTTATTTCTTTTACAGTACTAATCACACTCTGGCTCTTCATGGGAATACAAACTCCATGAAGGCAGGAGCCCTGTCTGTATAGTTCTCTGCTACATTTTTAGGGCTACCAGTGTGCAAGCCATAGTGTAGTATTTACTGGTGGAGAGATGAGGAGATTGGTGGCTGCCAGACTGCAGAATACCCAGCAGAGGAATTTGTACCCCATTGGTAGCCAGTAGAAAAGTCCCTGACAGTCTACTGCAAGACAGTGAACAGTAAGTACCTGGCAGCAATGTGCACAGTGACTTACAGAAGCAGAAAGTTTCATAGAGAAGCAATCTATAAGCCTGTACCATTAATTCACAATGAAAAAGGATAGTTAGAGTGGAACTGAAGAGTTATAAGGAATATTTTGAATGAGGAACCACTAGGACCTGGTACCTGTGAGAGACAGCAACAATGAAAAGGAATAAAAGGTAAAGTGTTGCACTTAGATGACATTGAGAGGGATTACAACATTAATGGAAAGAAGGAAATTGAGGAAAAAGGTGGTGGAGTTGGCTAGTCTTTGGAAAATGTGCTGCTTCTGAGGAACATGGGACATCAAGGCAGAATGTACAAAAAGGAGAGCTCAGGAGAGAGATTAGGAAACAGGAGAGTCAAAAAGCTCTCTAGTCACCTGCCTAGAGACCACAGCTGAACCTGAGGGGAAAGAAGAGATAAATGGGTAGCATGTACTGTGTCAAGAGTGTGTGAAAATGTTAGTACTTTACAGATAGGACAAAGGAAAGAATATACAAAACAGAGAATACTTGAAAGACCATGATGACGAGGTGGCAGGAATGTCTAATAACCATGTGAGGTAACAAAGAAAGCAGGACAGGAAGGTGCCACTATAGCTATGAACAGGTACACGTTAAAGAAGCTGATAATTCCTCATAATCACAAGTTGGTTAGCATGTCCTTCAATTCAATCTTCTCTGCAACATGCAGAAGTCCTTTATGGCTCTACCATAGGCACAAAGCTCTTCCTAATTTCTAGGTCACATCTGTTTCTTGATTTTCCATTATTTCTTTGGTTGTGCTCAATGGTAGTTTGCTGAGATCACCATCTATATGACCCAGCTTTCTATCGCTATAATAAATACCTGAAATAATCAATTTATAAAGAGAAAAGGTTTATTTTGTCTCAGAGTTTGGAAAGTTTTACTCCGACTGCTTTCTAGTCTGTGCCCAAGCAGCACATCATAACAAAATTGTGTGGTGTATCAAAACCACTCACACCATGGCTAGGACATGAATGAGACAAAGAAACAGAAGGGACCAGAGTCTCACATTCTCTTCAAGGGTACACCCTCAATGACCAAAAGACCTCCCACTTAGCTCCATCTCTTTAAAAATTTCACTACCTCTCTATAGTGTCACCTTGGAGAACAAGCCTTTAATATGCTCACTTTTGAGGGAAGCACTGAAGATCCAAACTATAGCACCATCTGAACCAAAAGTCTCTAAGAGAACGTATTTTGGGGAAGAGGTTATTCCTTGAACTCAATAGTTTCAAATGTGGTATCCATCAGAATCTCTCTGGGGAAGATTTCCCTCCAGAAAACAGGAGACAGTCACAGATTTAAGCAGAACAAAGCTCAGGAGTGAGGATGCAGGTTTGGATGCAGACAAGAAAAGAAAGAGAAGATTAGGAGTGGAAGACAAAGAGAAGGCTGACCAGAAATCATCAAGACTAACACATCCAGAAGAAAAGCAAGATGGCTGAGGAAGTGAGTCTTCTGGGCCAGAAAACACAGCACTGTCCCTTCCCTGTTTGGGGGACAGTCTGGCCCAGATACAGTACTGTAAGTCATAACACAGTATACAAAAGGTACCTAAGACCAGCTAACAACCACATGGGGCAGGGACAGCAATGAAAGATACAGTATTTATTTCAAAAGAAACATTCCAGAAGAAAATTTTGACTCTAATTCTAAAATGACATATGCCCCAAAGAAACTGCCATGATGATTCCAGGC